CTTTGAAGATATTAATATACAATACAACAAGCATTGTTAATTCCCTACCACTCTGTTTGTAACTCTGTACTGTCTGTACTGTTCCTTTGCTATTTTGTAAAATGTCAACTGTCTGTTAATATTTTCCTCCTTTTATTTTTAAAATAAAAAAAGAATATGAAATTCTATAAAAGTACTCTGAATCTCTAAGTATTATTTTCTTTTCCCAAGTTATCTTGTTTTGTGTACAGTATTTACTTAGGTTTTGCTTGGTTGATACAAGTTCTTAGTTTTCATATCTTTTTTTTGTAAATGCATTTCATCACTACTTTGTATTTCTCTTTAACATGTTTTGTTCTTTGAATTTTAATTTCTGCTTTGTTACTAATATTACTGATACAGGAGAAAATATAACCCCCAATCTGCTAGATGTGAGATATGCTGAGTTTGTGTTTCCAAAAATTGAAGAATGAATTTTAAGGTACAACCAGTGTAGGAAAAATTTATTGAGAGAAATGGCTCCTGAGAGACTGTAGGGGACTCAAAAGTGAGTTGCCACAGACCCTATTTCTTAGAAGAAGTTTTATAGAGCAAAATCACTGGGTGGGTAACATATGGGTCAAAACTATGATCAACCAGTAAGATCATTGGTGTAACTGCTTAGTAGTTTTGATTTAATGGGGAAGCAGGTCACATGGCAAGTGTATGTGGAAAGAACAAAGACCTTTTTAGGAAGGGGTGGATCAAGAGGTCCTGGTCACCCACTAGGTGACTGGTGTCTATCTAGACTTTATTGGACTGGGTGTGTATAATCTTTAATGTATTGCTATCCCTTTGGGAGACAAGTAGGCCTGGTCATTCTGTCTCTATGTTGGTCTTTGCAGATGGGCCTTTAGCCACAGTTGCAATGCATTCTCATCCTCTGCACTGACTTGGTGGAGAGCCTAGCCCTGTGTGACTGCCTATAATATTTCTGCATAACTTACCTGTTTATAATATTACTATTCCTGCTTGCTCTTTATTGTCATTTACTGTATTTTTTCCATCCCTGATATTCTTTTTAAAAGAATACATTATCTAAATATACTTTTGCAGGTCTAGGTGTATGTAGTATATATTATTATTTTTCGTTTATATTTTTAAATAAAATCTAAAGTTAACCAACATTTCTCTCAAATAATACAAAGATCTTAAAAGTGTTTAACTCTATTGCTTTGCATTATTTGAAAGAAATGATCGTCCAGTTTTACTTAGAAATGAGCATTGTAGTTGTGACTGTGATTAAAATGGCTTTGAGTTTGTTTTCTTTTCTTTTTCGGTACTGGCAATTGAACTCATGACCTCCAACTTGCCAGGCACGCGCTTGTGCCACTGAGCTATATCCCCAGCACCTTGTTTTGTTTTCATCTGACTATTTACATATCTACTTAATGTTTTCTGTACATCTTTGATGATTTTTTTATGGCAAGAAAATGAATTTGGACTCTTTTGATGCATTTCAATTGATGCTTTAATGTTTACTTTGCATATTGGTGTATAATTTCACCCCCAGTTTAAGACATAGGCTAGCCTTCAAATGAAGTATACATATTAAAGATAGAATTCTTATAGACTGAGTTTCTTGCTTTGTAAAAACTCATAGAATTTGATGATTTAGAGAGAAAGAATATCTTGTCTTTTCTCTACAAATGCATTTTAAACATATATGGTTATTCACGTTTACTTTTCCTTTGTCTAGGTGAAATATTTATTCTCTGATAAGACAGGAACTCTCACTTGCAACGTTATGACCTTTAAGAAGTGCACCATCGCGGGTATACCTTACGGGTAAGTGTTTTCACTGCCAAGCTTTTCCAGAAGTTCCCTTTCCTTTCTTTTTCCTTAGAAGAAATTAACTTTTATTTATTAACTTTTATTTACTCCAAGATGTATCTGAATTCCTAACACTGCAGAGTGAGGTTTAAACTTAATATAGCGTAAGTGAAAATTGGCTGTTAAAAATATGATTTATATCCGTTTTTATACACAGTTAGAGTTCCTAAGTCATGTCATATTGACCGTTCTGTGATACATTTCCTTCCTCATTTTCCCTAATCACTCAGATTGATGATTAGGGCAGGACGTGAGGTTAAAGCAGGAAGGAAGGGGTGAAAAAGAATTAAGACGTGTTACGTGCAATACCAGTTCCCCACAGGGAATGTCATTGTTACATACTGAAAGCATGTATTGATAAAAATTAAAACTAAATATAGAATTAAAAGAAACCTCAGGTGGAGACAGCTTTCTTCTTCACTTTGCCTTCGTCCCCTTTCATTGCAGTTGATTTTTGAGTGACAGGTTGCACCCCCTCGTTTCAGATGTTCTGGTGTGGTTTTCAGAGATTCTAGAATCCTGCCTGTCGTCTATCGTATTTGCAGTGCCTCTGTCTCAAATTGTTCATAACTACAGACTGCGTATCCCTTATCTGAAATGCCTGGGACTTGATATGTTTCAGATTCCAGGCTCTTTTGAGTTGGGGCTATTTGCATGTTTGTAATGAGATATCGGACCCAGGTCTAAAATGAAAATCACTTATATTTTTTCGTATACAATTTATACACATAGTCTGAAGATAATTCTACAAACCTTTTAGGTGTCTGATCGATAAGTAATAATTATATGTACTTATGTGCCATAGAATAATCTTTTAATTACTTGTAAACAGTGTGTAATGATCAAATATGGGTAACTGGCATATCCACTACTTGTTTGTTTCTTTTGTTTTGTTTTGTTTTTGTTTTTTTCCGGTACCAGGAATCTAACTCATGACCTTGCGCTTGCCAGGCAGGTGCTGTGCCGCTGAGCTAAATCCCCAGCCCCATATCCACTACTTGAAAGATTTATCATTTCGTTTTTTGCTGAGAACATTGAAAATCCTCTCTTGAAGCTATTTTGAAATACACAATAAACGATTGTCAGCTATAGTCATTATGCTGTGCTAAAGAACACTAGAACTTTAATGCTCTTAACTATTATGGATACAATATTTTAAATAATTTTGTACAGGAAGGAAAGTTTCAGGGTGTGGAATTTTCTACACACGGCATCAGGTTGGCGCTGAAAAAGCTTTGGATTTGGGAGGATTTTGGATTTCAGATTTCCACCTAGTTTCAGCAGGTCAGACACTTTCTAATGCCGTCTCGTGGCTGCAGGCATGAGACCCTCTGTCACTCCGCACAACTGTAAATATTTGCTATGGCACTATGAACTCTTACCTATGGTCTTCCTGAAAACAGAAGATGAGAACATGCATTTACCTTTCAGCCTTTGATACTTAGTACCACTGAGAACTTCTTGTTTCTTTTTTGTTTTTTTGTTTTTTCTTCCCATAGCGGGAATCGAACTCACGACCTTGTGCTTGTCAGGCAGGCGCTGTGCCGCTGAGCTACATCCCCAGTCCCACCACTGGGAACTTTTTGTCAAAAGTAATTTTCTCTGTTCCTCTTTGTAGTCAGTCATCTTCCTGTGAGCTGGACGACCCCGCATTATTGGCGAACATTAAGAATGGCCACGTGAGTGTGTTATTTTTACCTTAAGTTGGCACAGTAATGCCATGTAATTTCCTAAAGGGTGTAGCCCCCTAAACCAAAGAAGGGAGTTTTAAAAAAACCTCCTTTATAATCGGTAGGATTCCGAGGGTATATTTGTACTCGTTTTATGAGCTAAGCACTGAATTTATTAGTAAGAGCAAGTTTAAACATTATGCAAGACCTCTCAGCAGTCTTTGTGAAGTCTGTCTGCTCTCCCACTATTCGGTTTTGCTGTATTTTGTGCCGTCAGTGTCCTCACTGATCTATCCCAACACATTGCTCCACATGACTTGAAGTCTCCATCCTCTGAACACAGATCTCTTAAAGCCTACATCTACCTACGTGCCCTTCCTTTGCTTCAAACCCTTCTGAGGCCTGGCACCCCACTTGAGAGTGAATTGAAATACATTAACATGCGCGTCTTTCAAACCTCCTGCTGTGCCATTGTTCCTTTGCTCAAGGCGGGAAAGCCACATTTGTCTGGAGGCTTCCCAAACGCACAAAGCCGATCCTTGCCTCAGGGCCTTTGAATGTGCGGTTTCCATGTCCGGTGGGTGCCACCATAACCATGACTGTACAAGCAGCTGTTTGTCTGGATCTTAATTTAAACATCATGCTCAAGTGTTATTCCCTGGCCAGCTCTCTAAACTAGACGCCTCTTCTCTCTGTCAGGGCCCTTATTTGTTTGCTCCACCTCTGGGAGATCCCATCTCTCCATGGAGGTACAGAGCCAGGGCTACCTGGCGCTCTGAGGTCTCCCCCACCTCCTCCACCCTCCTTAACTCAAAGCCCCCCAGACCCATTTTGAGTGTGTGGCCTGTTTTTCTTCCAGCGCCCAACTCTGTGTGTTCTGGAGGTCAAACTTCACTTGGTACAAATTGCAGCGCACTCTCACGCGGCTGGTGTGCCAGGAGACTCACTACCTCTGTGACTTTTTCTAGCCCACAGAAGAATACATAAAGGAATTTTTTTTCCTGTTATGCATGTGCCACACAGTTTTTCCTGAGAGAGATGGAAATAACATGATCTACCACGCCTCCTCCCCAGGTAGGTACGATGTGCGGAGCACACAGCAACTCGGGCCTGCTGCGGGTGGTGCTTCCGCGCTGCCCTGGTTGGCCCTGCCTTTCCTCTTCACGGGGCTCTCCCAGGCAGGGCAACTCTGCAGCTCCCTGTCCTTGCCCCGGAGACTGTCATAGGGAGCCGAGGGTGGGCTCCGCAAACCTGGGCCCCAGCAGACTGTTGAGTTATAACCTGGAATAAAGCAGAGGTAGAGTTAAGGCCCTACCGCATTTTATGTGAGTGCTATTAGTGCCCCCAAAAACAAACAAACTTACTAGGACTGGTAATGGCTAAGGTGAATCTGCCATCAAGGCCCCAATGAAAGAGGCCTTATTTAACCCAGTTTCCTCTTTCGCGAACATTTTCTGGTACCGAGAAGGACACATAACAACTTTTAGATCAAAGAAGCCAAGTTTAAAAACCGACACAGTATTTTAGTGCTGGAGAATGTAAATCTGAATTAAATTAAATTCAGTGTTAACACATACGCTCAACCCTTATTAATATGGATTATTTATTGACAGATGAAGCCGCGTTAGTGAAAGGAGCAAAAAACCTTGGCTTTGTCTTCACTATGAGAACACCGCATGCTGTCACCATAGAAGCCGTGAGTAGGATCCCGCTATCTCCAACGGGCTCCATGCACCTGCTTTTTGGGGCGGTGACAGGCGCACCGTAACTCAGAGTGGGCGCCCGGGAGCCCCTGGGGCCCCTGCCTGGCCTGAAGCCTTTGCAGTCATTACTCTCAGTGGCCTTCCTTTACCTCTGTACATTTGCCCATTTTATTACTGTGCATGTTAAGGGTCTTGGCGAGAATGTGAAGAATGAATTTGTAGAAAGTCCCTAGAAAGTACCTAGTATCAGGCACAGAGAAAGTACGCAATTCAAATCAGCTTTTTTAAGGACTGAACATCATCAGATCTATGTTTTCTCATAAAAATTAACATGATTTAAACTTTTTTGGCTGGTATTTTACTGCTTTTTCATTTTAGTTTATATATTTCTTGTTTTCTGTTTCGATAACCATTCACCACAAGTGTCTGATTTTATAGGGGGAAAATGGAAGCAACGCAAAATGTTAACCGAGACGTTGACTTTGTTCTAGTAATACTGTGACGGTTGGGGATCTTTATTAGACCTTGGATTCTCGGTAAAGGGGCTGATGAATTCATCGTTATGTCCCTTGTATCTGGCACATGGACAACTGCGACATGACTTAAAGTTCTGCAGGGGCACATTTGTGGTGCTGGGAGCTGGTAGGTTTGGGGATAAATTGACCTTGGTTAGCAGAAGTCGAGGGGCTACAGCGGTAATAAAAGTAAAAAAAGAACTCGTCGTTACTGGAAAATTTTCTACATAGCATACTGCTTCCTAGGGTTGTCCGTCCCTTCAAATTAGCTGAGAGCTAAGGACTTCATTTGGTCAGTGCAAATTAACAGAGCACAGGTTGTAAATAATGCTCTCCCCAGAGGAGGGCTCCACCTCTTCAGACTTGCAAGAGCATTTCTGTTTTGAAAATGATACGTATTTGGAGAGGTACAGTTTATTTATGACTTGAGGAGTGAATTATTTTGCCAGATAAATACTTTTTCCCTCGAATAATAATTTCTTGTCTTGTCTACCGATAGCTGGGAGAAGAATACACTTTTGAAGTCCTTAATATCCTGGAGTTTTCTAGGTAAGCCACTCTTTTATGAGTTCGTGTATTCCCCAGCAGTGTTTCCACAACTGATCTAACAGAGACTTGACCATGAAAATAAAAACTGATACCGAGCTGGTCATGGTGGTGCACACCTGTAATTTCAGCTACTCTGGAGGCTGAGGCAGGAGGAGCACAATTTCAATTTAAAGACTATATCTCAAAATTAAGTAATTAATAAAATAAAAGGTCTGGAGATGTAGCACAGTGGTCCCTTTTCCCAGCAGTGTGAAAAATTAAAAACTTTTAAAAAGTAAAATAAAAGAAGATAAAATTAGCAGCTTCAATGTAGGTTAGAGGTTAATGTATCTTTTACTTGCCTGGCACCCCGTGTACTCCCCCATGCTTTTAAATTGTGCCTTCAATTTTTCAGTTGGAGAAGTTATTGCTACCTTTCTGCTAAACAAGGTATGGGACAGCTGAGTATCTCTTTTTCTGCAGTAATAAGAGTTGTGCTAGAGTGTGAAGGTTGGTGTCACGATGAAGGCGGGTGCCTTCCCCTGACTGGCTGCTGGTCTACTGGGAGACACAGTTAGTATGGAAAGGGCTTTTAGACACAGTCCAGTAGGACCTAAGTAGATGACTATCTCCAGTGTACGGAGAATGGGGCATCCTGGAACACTTCAGTACATGTATGCATTGTACAATGTGTAAAGCAGGGTTAAATATGTCTGTCTCCTCAGGCATCTGTCATTTTTTTGGGTGAACACATTCAAAATCCTTTCTTCTAGCTTTTGAAATGTGAGATGTTATTGTTGTCTATAGACGCCTACTCTGCAACCGCACACTAGAACTTGTTACTCCTGACTCTGATTCAGTGTCCGTGGATACCTTTTCCCATCCCTCCCTTCCCACTATCCTCCTGGCCTCCGGTAATCACCATGCACACTTATCTCTCTGTCCCTGGCTTATTCCTCTTAACATAACTGCCTGCAGTTCCATCCAAACTGTCGCGGATGAGAATACGTCATTCTTTATTATAGCCACGTAGTGTTCCACAGTTATTTCTGATTGAGGAGTTTGGGGAAGGTTTTCCAGAGGAAGCTGCATCTTCGAAGGGCAGGTGCAGTTTCAGCAGGTGGATATGGGACCTGGGGGTGGGACACATGGCTCAGAAAGTGGCCATGGAGGACATGGATTTGGGGAGAGGATCTTCTGGAGTGGTGGAGCTCAGATTGTGCAAGAGTGTGGGATCTGAGGAAGAGCAGGGGAGGTGGTGGTTATTATATGTATAGGGGAGGTCTGGAGGTTATTGGAGGGGGTCCTTTGAAACGTGTTTGCAGGCCTTGCAGAGCCATTCGAGGGCTCGGGTGGGGGATCACCACAAGGACAAAGCAGGTGGTCAGCTCAGCTGTGTGCAAGGCCAGTGGAGGTGGGAGATCTTTAGACTCCTTGGGCTGCTGAGCCAAGAATAATAGCAAGGAGTTAAAATTCTGACTCCAACAGTAAACACAAGAGGACAAAAAACCCAGACAAAAAACCCTTGAAAGAAAACTACAGATTTAAAAACTCTCTGACACCCACTGAGCCAGCAGTTTAACGTCTCTGTGTAGCCGAGTGAGGACAGCAAGCTCTACCCAATAGAGGTGTGAGGACTCCACAGGACACAGAGCCCAGGCAGCTCCTCTCCTTCCTTTGTAGTTTTTAATTGTGTATTTTGTATATATATTATGTATATGTTGTTTTCTTTTTTCAGTGTTGGAAGTTGAACCCATGCTAGGCAAACACTCTACCACTGAGCTGCATCCTCAGCCCTGTGATATTATATATTGATATATACTTTATGTAATGTAATACATATGATAGAATGTGCACTACATAATATATATTATATATAATTTATATATAAATATATAATAAATACATATAATAAGTATATAGTAGTAATATAATGTCTATATGTTACATATATAATATAATTTGGGGGTAATACATGGTAAACAATCTGATATTATACACATATTATATATATAATAATCATATATTATGTATGACTAATAGAAATATAATAATATATTGTATAGTATAGATGATATATTTTATATAGAGAGTAAAACCTTGGTTTGTGACCTTAATTCATTAGGGAAAAATGCTTGTAATCCAAAGTATTTGGTTAGTTGCTTTTCTCTCATTGCTGAGACAAAATATCTGATGCCCAAAATTAAGGAAGGAAAGGTTTATCTAGCTCATAGTTTGTGGAGGTTTCAGTTCATATTCAGCTGGTTCCAAAACAGGGTGGCATGGCACAGGAGATAGTTTGTGGTAGTGGAAGACAACAAGAGCAAAAAGCTGAAGAGCAAGCCTTTTTTCCTCCCTTATATTGTAAGCAGGCTACCCGCCCTAGGGTGGGGGTAGCACTCAGACCGTCTCCATGCCCTCCTATTGCAGAGGTTGAGGATATTTACAAAGCGAGGACCCTGGTGCCCTGCCGAGTCACTTAGTTAAGCTTCTCAGCTTCTCAGATTGACACAGTGAATCAACCATCATAACATCATAGAACATAGACAGCCGCATCAGGCCATGTCCTCTACACCCTAGGATGTAGAACTGCTGAGTCACTTACTTAAGCTTCTAAACTTCTCAAGTTGGCACAATGTATCAACCATTACAGCATTTGCATATCAAAGCAAATTTCCTCAGGAGAAATATGTAATGGAGACTCAAATGATTTTTTCCACAACCCAAAAATATTCATATAAAATTATCACAATACTGTAATATAATACAGAATAGTTGAAAAAACACAAAATGTAAAGAAAAATAAGCAGATGAACCTGCACTTACCTTTGAAAACCTTCATGGTTGGTGCAAGGGAGACAACAAGGAGGATTATTGTGATGGGTGGCTACCCCTAAGAGAATCAGTGCTATTGGCTCCGTGGAATCTTTATCTTCTCTTGCAACTTTAACAAAGAAGCTATCCAATGACGCTTGCTTATGCTTCCTTCTGAGGATTTTGCAGAAGTGTGACAATGCACTGTTGTTAAACAGATTCACGGCTCGCAGTACTGGAGCCATATTTACTTGGTACTTTTCTGCCAAATTTTGCACTGTTTCCCACATTTTATACATCTCCCTAATCTCATTTGAAGTGAGGGATTCCTCTGCCTTTTTCTTCTCCTCCTCTGAAAATAAGATCTCTTGTGTAACCTCTTGCTGTTGGGAGATAGTCACCTACAATCCCAGAGAGAGACAGACAGACAGACACAATCAAATTTCCATCAAATAAAAATATCATAACTAGAAATAGTAGTCGTAGAAGGACATGTAGATTGATAATTAGAATCCTGGTTTAAGGAACTAGATGAAGAAATGTAGACTAGCAACTGAAGAAACAATGTCAGCCTCTTCACTAATTTTCAGCCTAAGACTTTAACTGGAAACTTTTTTACTTTGGTTGTGTCATATACTGAAGAAAATAGAAACTAATGCTAATTTTTGTATTGTGCTAGCGATAGAAAAAGGATGTCAGTAATTGTCCGGACCCCCGCGGGGCAGCTCAGGCTCTACTGCAAAGGGGCGGTAAGTATTGGGACTCCTAATTCACATGAATTTCTCTGTTCCAAGAACTTGTAGGGAGGCTTTTGCAACCTCAGAGTATCTTTCAGTGTTGCTTTTTCTCTGCTGTTGCTATCAGCAGGATTTTCCAAGATTGAAAGGTTTACTCCAATGCAGCCAAAGACCGTAGAAATTCACCGCGTACATGGGAGTGTTTGTGAAGTTTTGATGTCAGCGAGATGCTTGCCATCACTCAGTTACTGTAATGAGAACAGTGATGAGATTGTTGGTGTTCGGGGTTTGTAGCGGCAGTTTTGATCCCATTTCCAGCCCGAAGTGCTCAGACTTGGGAGGTCTCAGGAATTCCGTTTCACCCCTGCACAGCTTTTATTTTAAATGTTTATATATTTGTTCACTACCATATGTATTTTAAAAAATCAACTCTACTGAGTAATAATTGAGAGTTATGGAGGTAAAATAAACTGCATATATTTAAAGTTTGTTATTTGATATATATATAGTGGTCCTGATTTGCTTTCTGTCACCATGTATTTGTCTGCATTTATTAAAATATTATGTAAACAAAATCATGAAGTATACATGTTTTTTAATTCATTTGGCTTCTTGCACTCATAATCATTCTGAGATTCATTCATATTTTAACTTGTATCCATAGATCATGTCTTAGAATTGCTAAGTAGTATCTTCATTATATGACTATATCAGAATCTGATTATTCATTCAATGGTTGGTGGATATTGTATTTGCAATTTTTTTTTTGTCTTTTTGAGACAGGGTCTTGCTATGCAGTTCACGCTGGCCTTGAGCTCACTTTGTAGCCCAGGCTGGTCTCAAACTCGCAACCATCTTCCTGCCTCAGCCTCCTGAGTGCTGGGATTACAGGCGTGCACCACCATACCTGGCTGTTTGCAATTTTTGACAACTATAAATAATCCTCCTATGGACCTTTGTAGGTCTTTTTATGGACTTTTGTTTTCATTTCTCTTGGATATGTGTCTAGGATTGGAATGGCTGCGTCACATGGCAGGTGTATGTTTAACATGTAAAGAAATCCTCAAATGGTGGTTACATTCCTACCAACTATCCTGTTAAGCCCTGAAATGGTTAGCTTTTTTAAATTTTAGCCATTCTGAGCATTATGTGCTTCATTGTGGCATTTATATGTATTTTCACATTGTGATGTTCTTTTTATATGCTTGCCTTCTGAGCTGGGGGTCCCCAAGATGATGTTTATGTTTGTAGATTCACTAGAAGGGTTCATGGGACTTAGCATCTAACTGTTCTCATGGCCAAGCTTTTTGAGAGTAACCCAGTGAGTATACACAGCCAGTGTATAAATGAAAAGACATAGGCAGAGTGTGAATGCACATGCAGGGTTTGCATGGAGGTCATAAAGAATGTCTGTCATCTTAGTGAGTAGATGCTAGCCAAGGGCCAAACTTGGAATAGGTTCCTTCTAAGGATAGAAGTCTCCAGCCTGCTGTGTTAACCCCCTCTTGCACACTCTCTATTCATTCCTTTGATGAAATGCCTGATTCTTAAATATTTGCCCTTTTGTATTTTAAAATAAGACTTTTTCAATGCCATTTTAGGTTCCGAGTCAAATTAAAGGAAGATACAGAGCTTTCACAGATGGTCCTTCCTCGTACTAAATAGCTTTCCCCATTACTAACAGCCTCCACCAGAAGGGTGTATTTGTTACAACTAATGAACCTGCATCAACTCCTCATAATCACCAAAGTCCAATAATTTAAACTGGGGTTCACACTTCATACGTGTCCTAGGGCTTTGGACAAGTGTAGAGAGATGTGTACTCACCATTATAAGTATCATACATTTTCATTTCCTTATAATTCCTCTTACGCTCCACCTATTCATCCCTCCTCTCCTTGGCAACTGCTACGTGTCTTCTGCAAATATTTCCTCCAAGATTTTAGCTTGTTTTCTCATACGCTGGCAACTACTGATTGTAGATTTGCTCTTTTCAAAAGAGCAGACTTGGAATCATACAGCATGGAGCCCTTCTATATTGAATTCTTTCACTTAACAATATGCAGTTAAGGTTCCTCCATGTGTTTCCATGGCTTCCTGGCTGCTTTATAGCACTGATTAATATTCCATAGTAGGTACATAACTGGTTGTACCGCAGTTATGTACCTACTGAAGGGATTCTTGGGGGCTTCCAGATTTTGGCAGTTAGGAATAAAGCTGCTATATAACCAACTGTATGCAGTCTTTTTGTATAGATACACATTTGTAACTCCTTTGGATAATTACTGAGGTTGTATATTTCCTCTTGTAAGAGGTTTGGCAGATTGTATCTTTTAAAGAACGAATCCATTTCATCCAGGCTATTGAATTTACAGGTATAAAAAATAAATATTGGCAATTTTTATCCTCTATTTTTTTCCTGATTAGCCTGTCCAGTTCTGATTTATTGATCTTCTCGAAGTACTTGCTTTTAGTGTTATTGATTTTTCTTGAACATTTTCCTACTTTTCATTTCATTGATTATTATTACTTTTGTTCTTTTCCCTACTTTGGTTTCATTTGCTCTTCTTTTTCTAGTTTCCTAAAATGGAACTTGGTTTGAGACTCTTCTAATATAAGTGCTCAGTGCTGTACATTTTCTCCTAACTCCTATTTGAGTAGCATTTCAGTATGTTGCATTTATATATTCATCAAACTTAAAAAATTCTAGTTTTTCTTCTGATTACATCTTTGATCCATGGATTATTCTGAAGTGTGGTTTTTATTTTTTTATTTTTATTTTTATTTTTTTTGTACTGCGAATCAAACTCAGGACCTTGCATTTGCTAAGCAGGTGCTTATGCTATATCCCCAGCCCTGACGTGTGGTTTTTAATCTTCAAATATTTGAAAACTTTCTAGAGCTATTCTTCTTAGATCATTTATAATTTAATTCCATTACAGTCAGAGAACATAAGTTGGTATGATTTGAGTTGTTTAAATTTTATTGACCCTGGCATGGTGGCACATGCTTGTAATTCTGGCACTTGGGAGGCTGAGGCAGGAGGATCACTGTAAGTTCCAGGCCAGCCTAGGCTATATAGTGAGTTCAGGGCCAGTCTGAACTGCATAGGGAGATCCTGTCTCCAAAACAAACAAAATAAACAAAAGAACTGTATTGAGACTTATTTTATTGCTCAGATCATGATCTATTTTGTTGAATGTTTGATGTACACTTGAAAAGAATAAGTATTGTGCTGCTTTGGTTTGTAGTGCTTTATGACTGTTGTTAAGGACAAGTTGGTTGTTCCAATCTTCTATATATTTAATGTTTTTATTTCCTACGGATTAATTGAAAGAGACGATACAAAATCAACAGCAATCATTGCAAACTTGTGTTGTGCAGTTCTGTTAGATCTGGCTTTTGTAGTTTGACACTCTCTTATTAGGTACATAAACGTTGGGATTATTTCCTTTTAATGAATTTATTTCTTTGTCATTGTAAAATGATTTGTTACCCCTGCTAATGTTCTTTCCTCTTAAATATAGGCTGTTTGACATTAATATATGTTGTTTTCTTTGATTAGTATTGGTATGGTTTATCTTTCTCTTTCTTCTTAGCCTTTTTATGTTTTTTGTTTGTACCAGGAATCAAACTCAGGACCTTGCACTTGCCAGGCCGGTGTTTGTGCTGCTGAGCTATATCCCCGGCTCCCCATTTATGTTTGTACATATTTAAAATATGTTTTTTTTATGGAGCAGGTAGTTGATTGTTGTGATATTGACTCATTTAAAATTCTTTGCCTTTTAATTGGGTTGTTTAGACTGTTTGTAGACTGCATTGCTTATTTTTTATTTTAAA